TCAGCATGTCCCACTCCGCGTCATCTCTCCCCCCCCGTTTGACAGCTGACACCTTGGTCAGCTGGATGTGCAGCCCATTGACGCCATTATATAACCCTTGCCACAATTATACCTGTTGTATAACACCAGGTCAGCCTCGGTTACATCAGGTAGGCCTAGACAATGGCGTGTAAATGGTCTCACCTCGCACCATTTCAAACCGTTCCGGTAAAACATGTGTTTGCTTCACTCAAGGTTTAACGTTGATTGTTACGCTGTAGCAAAGGTGCAACCTTTGCATCATTTTGTAACATAAAGGACGTTCTTATACGCTCTTGTCATAACTCATTTTCTTACCGTTTTTTTTTTAATGTTTTATACTGAATTTTTTTTCGGATCGTTAAAATAGCCTATGTCTTTCTAGGATTTGTTTTACGTGTGCTACATTCAATTTATCTTTTGGAATTACAGAGACCACAACTATTTCGTATCCAATAAGTACACATATCTATAAGTTTCAGTTTCTTTAGTTGGCGTCGTTGTTAGGTTTTAAAAACGCGACACTAATAAACGAAAGAAAAAATAGATTTCATTCTATTGTAGGGTCTGGAGCATAATTTTATGTTTTTTTTTTCATTTTCATTTAAATTAAGACAATTTTATGTTAAATTAATTATCCTTAGAGTATTTTATAGATACATTTACAGTGTCCCCTGCATTCTTAGCTATACGAAACAAAAGGCATTAGTTTATAAATACATACTGTACAGTTTAATTTGGTTGAAACTGTTAAGTCGGTGTAATGAAGTGGAATACAAGTGGTGGAATGAAGTGGTACTTGTAGGTCTTGTTGACATTTAACATTTTAGTTCAAGAGGTCAGGAGGTCACGGGAGTTTTGGAGGTTATCGACTGAAACGGTAGACCGGTATCCAACAAAAATGGCATTCCCACCCTCCCTACTATTATATAGCTTTTAAGCTTCGTAATTAAATAATCATCACGGAAATAAATTGTTATATTTTTTCCCCTTTGAAAACCTATTGAATTCGGAATTTATGATAAATTATGTTGGTGTAAACAAAACTTCTTGATTGAGTTTCTCATACCCTTGATACTATACAACGCACTAGAGAGATACATACTTACTATGTAACTGATCCATTGTTGATGGTTTAGGTTGCAGGTATCATTGACTTAATCGTCGTATCTTTATATAGTCAATGTTATTACCCCTTATCCTCCAACACACTTAGCTCAACAAAAGAAAATGCAAGGGCAACTGAAATGTGTTTATTCCAAGGACAGTGCTTCGGTTTGTATCGAGGACTTTCTTAATTCAACAGAGCACTGTGGTACAATAAAACGTAAAATGTAACACCGAACTTGCGTGAATACTTAGAACACTGAATACGAAAATAGCTCATATCAGCACAGCTAAGCTTTGCGAAAATCGTAGTTTTCCATTTAATCAAAACATGATTTGGCCTTTCCTAAAATACTTTGCCTTTTTCAAACAAACTTTTTCCTACCCAAACAAACGCATGTCCAGTTCATCTCATCTGAAGTGCAAGAGTATGTATTGCTTTTTTTATTAAAGAAAATATCTGACAGCTAACATTTAAATATGAAAATGTGAAAGAGAATCATTAAACAATGAAATAATGTTTTGAAGTGTAGTGTGATGATTTTCTTCGTGATGAAGGATATCGTTCACAACTCCGTCACCAAAGTCCAAAGTTCCATTCAGTCACAGTCATTGAATATAGTGTTATTTATATATTTAATGATTCAGGGTGATAGTTGTTTTCCTCGCCTCGCTCGTAAACCACTATCTTGTCCCGAAATGTGTCACTTTCGAGACTGGTAGTGAAATAAAGACCTACTATTTTAAAAATACTTGTATACTAAAGGATTCAGAAAATCTATGTTCAATCATTTTATGCTCGTCGTCACAGAACATCAATGGATTTCTTCAACTTCCCTACAATTTACTTTGCTTTCCAGATAAAAAAAAACAGTATGAGGTATTTTAAAATTATAATTTAGTCATAGGTTTGTTTAGGAAATATGCAGTTAATCCCTAGAATGATTATTAAATAATAAAGCTAGAATGCATTTGATAAATATTTTTTTTTTTATCCTTGCTACTCGATTTTATACAATAGTCCACCTATATACCAGCGAGCACTAAAGACCAAATATACAGGGTGGTAATAAAGTCCGAAGACAGTTAAATATAAAAAAAATAATGTGGATAGAGCTACAATACTTGGTACAAAGTTACAGAGCATAAAACTTTATCTTAACACATATTCAGTGATTCAATAACTCTTCAGGGGGACGGTCCACAAGGAGTCGGGATAACATCTTAAATGGAAGCATAGGTCAATATGAAAGGTCTTTTTTAGTATATTACAATGCCGCAAATCGCACTTCAAAAGGTTGATCCTGCGCAAAATGGCAGCCGTTCAAAGATTTCTTGAATCTGCCATTTTGAATCTTTGAACGATTGCCATTTTTTACTCAGGCGTTCTTTTGAGCTTGAATTTACGGCAGTGTAATCTACTAGTGAAGACCTTTAATTTGATGTGCATATCGACCTATGCTTACGTTAACAATTTTCTTCCGATTCCTAGGGCCCCTGAGGAGTAAGCGTATAATAAGCAATGTAAATTAAATCAATCTTTGAACAACTGTCATTCTTGGCTCGGTTGTCCGTTTGAGTTCAAATTTGCGGCATTATATTCTGCTAGCAAAGACCTTTAATTTGATGTACATTCCAACCTATGCTTCTATTTAAGATTTCCTTCTGACTCCTTGCGGGACGTCCCCATGATATGACAGAAAATTGATATTTCCAAAAAAAAATCGATTTTTAGGTGTGGTGTTGATGTACCAAATCTTATTGATTTATCTGTTGTCGTTTAGAAAATATTTAACTGTCTTCGGACTTTATTACCACCCTGTATTTAGCATTGTTCAATAAATTATCAACACAAATACTTTACCAAAAGGGTTTTATACTACAGTAATAAGTAATGTAAATCATGTAAAATGTGTGAATAATATATATTTGAAATCTGTTTATTGTTACTTTTTTGTTAATTCTTTTCAAAAACGATTTTAACTGCATTGAAAAACTTCGGGTCAAACTAAATCGTTTTCCGTTTACACTCAACATTTTTAGGTATGAAAAAGTTTTTAAATTAACTACAATAACTGATATTAAAAAAAAATTAAATTCGACTACTTTTGGAAGAATTACAAAGACTTTAAACGCTCTATGAGCTAAAACATTTGAAACGCGTAACAAAATAATCTCCTAGAAGGGGTAGGTGACCGACCATATCCCCTGTATCCTATAGCCTGTTGCCCACGTATCGGGTATCTTCACAGGCCCCATTACGTAACCGTAACCGATAACAAAGACTGTATGGTTTGTTGATTCGCTTATGAGGAACAGTGAGTAACGTGACCTTTATGTAACGTTGTCTGGGGGAGGGGGAAGGGGGGCAGTGTTCCCAATTGTACGATGATTTCGTTGATTCGTCCCTCCTCTTCTTGGCCCAGTTCAATTCAGCGCGTTTCATTGATTGAGCTGAACTTCCAATGAGTTTTAATAAATTAGTTGACGCTAGCTTTTTTACTGGTTTTGGATCAACAAAGATAAACTCAATGGTCTCCTCAACGAATTTCCCTACAGGGAAGTACCTATTATCAAAGGTCTCCTATTATCGAAGCTCGAAGCTAGTAAGACCTGGGACCACTTTAATTTATCATTTTGATGTCTCCAGAGAAAACTAAATGGGTCCGTTAGCATTGTGAGTTCGCGAACCAGCATAATTATTATCGGACAATGGAAACGGGGGTTTATGGGGTTATATTTGTTTCATTTTTATTTTGTCCCTAAAAACATAGCATTTCCATTTCACAATGTTTCAAAAAACAATTTTGTTGAGCTAAAAATCAACAACAAAAATATAAATGAAATACAAAAATCTATGTTTTTGTTAAGGAATCCTATTTAAATTTATGACATAAGACATAAGATCATTTATTTCGATTAAAACAATTAATATCATTAAAAACTTTTCATGATTCATTTTATACAATTTCTTTATAATATTTTTTTATCTGATCAATAATAAATATTGAATAATTATTATGCTTCCTAATAAAAGGTCATCGTAAAAAAATATTGTATTTTCGTTCAAGAAGCCCAGGGATATTTAGAATATTTTAGTATACATAGTTCGGAACTGACCTTTTATATTTATTTAATCCCTCTTTATTGTACTCAATATCACAGAAAATATACTTCTATATTAGTGGTAATAGTAGTATATTTTCTGTGTCAATATACAGTACCCAAGGAACATTGATACTAGAAACATCGAGTTGAGGATAGTAAATCTACATCTCAAATGTTCAATGACAATAAATACGATTAACCACACTGATGTAATTTATAACTTGTTTTCGAGCTAATAATACACAGTATCTGCATTTATTGTTGCTTGGATTGAAACAATAGTTTATACTAAAGTACATGAAGTATTTAATTTTATTTAGTCTATTTTTGTAATTTGTCTGAAGAATTTATGTTTGTTAAAACAATTCTATTAATTTTATGTTCTATATTGAGTATAACTAGACTGTCTTAAAATATGTTTTTAAAGTGTATATAAATGAGTATTGTTGTTGACACTAACTCTTTTGTTTCAACGAAGCTAATGGACTAAGTTTTAAAATTGTCCTAGTAATTTAATTCATAAACTTACGTAGGTATCATATTTAACGTTAAATCGAATAAAAAATTGAATACGTTACGAAAACAATATAAGACAAAACCGCATCGGGTATATAACATCATTATATATAACATGTAACGTTGCAGTTACGACAGTACTGTAGTAAACACGACTACGCCATAATTGACTTTGCGAGGTTGGCAGCGCTGTCGACGCGCGCGCCTCCACACGGACTCAACAAACAATCTTCGGTTAGTCAGCATGGAACCTTCGTTGTGTTAACATGGCAGGCTTTGAACTCGCGCGCGCTGCCCTTCGAGATGCAGATTATCACCTGTCGGTATCCTTGTTCGAGGAGTGTCTAAATACTATGGAACCCAGTGCCGACATATATCTCGACTACGCTGACGCTCTAGTGCAGTGCGGCCGGCTCTTGGATTCGCTCGACGTCTACTCGTTGTGCTCTCGATACACTTTGGTGTCCGCGGATAGGTTAGGTCGGGTTGTGTCGACATTCACCGAGATGCTGCAAGCCACCGGGATCCCCAGGGAAGACGGAGTGTGTGGGCTCGGGTGTGCGATTTGCGAGAGTGTACTAGTCCAGCCGACAACTTTAGGCTGTGGCCACACGTTCTGTGCCGGGTGTGTGCTGAGGGATACCTCGGGAGTGTGTCGCAAATGTGGGGCCAAGGTGGGATCATCGTCCCTGGAGACCAATGTGCTGGTCAAGAAGGTGGTGGAGAGATGGTTCCACACGGAGGCCAAGGCGGCTCGCCTCAGGGAAGAAGGCAACAGGCTGTGTGTGTGCAACAAGTTCGAGGAGGCTATCGCCAAATATAACGCCGCCTTACAACTCGGTAAGTGTTTATGTTACGTCATTCTCCGTCTAGCGTTGAGCAAGACTGTTTAGGAAAAAAACTAATTTTACATTTACGTTATTATTGGCGTACGTGTGCGTTATTGGCTCTCGCCCCAAAACTATGAGGTAGGTCTACATATAGTACCCCTGCAGCATTGCAACATACCAACTCCATATAGGCCTAAGTTATTACATAGGTAACTTACAGATCCATAGCCTACATGTAGGGAAAATGGGGTGTTGCACCCTAACGAGAGAAGTGGGTGAGATAGATGGTACAATTTGTGGTGTATTTGTATTGAGAAAAATATAATTAGGCGTAATCTAAATTACCGTATCGGTATCAAAACTTTAAGGGGGCGTTTCCCCCCGCCTAAGTATAAAAGGAGGGGGGTTGTAGGGGAGCGGAAATGGTTCCATTGAGTTCCTTGTCCTCAAATTAGGGGGTATAAGAGGTTTTGGACTGTCTCCAAAAAGGGGGAATACAAGGATTAGGGAAAACCCCTGCCAAAAATCCCCAATACCCAAAGCCATGTACAGTACACCTAACCATCTTTGTTTTAACCAAGTCATGAGACATTTCCGACAATTTGACAGAAACTAGTCCGTCAATTAATACAGATTTCTATTCCACACAGCAAAATGAAGCTATGCCCAAATTATACAGTTTGTAAGATAATGAAAATTAGATTCATTACGTACAAGTTGTTTGCTGATTCCAAAGATATTTAAGCCGATTATTTAAGTTAAATAAAAAGTCAATCCCCCCCCATCTAATATTTTTCTAAGTAAATAAGTTAAGCAGAGATATCCTTTTGGTGGTCGTGCAATCTTAGCAGGAAGTTTCATTTTATGATTTTAACAATTTTGGGTGTCCCCCAAATATCGCTTATTTTGGGGACACCTGTACCCCAAAAAGGGGGATTTTAGGGGCCACTTAAAAATTTTAAATGTAATCCCCCCTCAGTGACACCTAATTTTTAAGTGTTAAGTAGGCTATCTAAAAAAAACTTGTGGTGAAAACCACAGTTCGCTACCTCTATCCAAAATGGATTACAATATTAAAATTAGCCTACATTGATTTTTTTCTTGTATTTATGTGCAGACTGTAGATTTCAATACATTTGACGGGCTACCATGTTGGGTATAGAAGAGGATATCTCTGTAGCCTATTTTTACTTAGAAAAATATTAGATGGTGGGTTCTTGACTTTTTATTCAACCTCTATGAGTCATAATTCACTCTTGTCCCTAGGTACCGATAAGGGTAAAAGCAAAAGCTGATAGCTAAATAGTTGTTGGTTGTTTACTAGTCTAGACTTGTCACCTATGGCAGTCAGCTGATATTTCCGTCTCCTGTTTTTACATTTAACACCTTAAGGTTATTCACATGTTGATAAATATCAGTAACATTGACAAAGAGCTAAACGGTTAGGTGCGTAACTTCTGTGCTTTATTTTGCAAAATTTAAACAAGTGGTACAAAGGTACAAGGTACAAAAAGGTAAAATAAATGTCCATTTTGCTTAAGACATGACATCAAGTACAGTAGGCATACAGGACAGAAGTCACTAAAACTAAACATAAAAGAGATCATAGATCATGTTCACAAAATAAAATATTTATATTCCTACGCTTGTTTGTAGTTGAATAGACCCGTTACCAAAGGCAACCAACCAAATATTAAAAATATTAAATTTACAACTATGGATTAAATCTATGGAATTCATTGATTCGGCCTATACATACATGCCAACGGCTAAAATTCCCTCTATCGAAATGCATTAAATTTGTAGAAATAGTTTTCAAAACAGCTTTTAACTAATTGACGATCGAAAATCTTAAGATTAAAGTCGTGGTATGGTGGCTAATGAATTTGAAAAATTGCTGATATTTTTTAATGAAGATAAAAGATTTAAAGATAAAAATCGATGGGAAGGTCAGCAAATTATTTGTACGAAACACGGATCTGCAAGACTGTCTATAATTAATTAATTGAAGTTTAGGCCTACTGATTAACGCTTTAGTAGAAAATATTTGGATTTGGACTACAATTGTTGGCAGTTTACAGTTCCTAGCATACATAATATTCTCGCGTGTGTAGGCTAAACCTCCTACATGTTGCACCAACCTCCCATTGATTGTACTAGCTACAAGTTTACACAATTCCACTATAGTCTTCTGGAGTAGAACCCCATCTGTTGCACTTGAATTGTATCTGTTGCAAGATAGAACCCATCTTGGTTTTGTCATTTTGTGTCGACTCAATTAGCTACCACAAGTTAACATAAATCTCACTATAGTTTTGAGGTGGAGTCCCATCTGTTGCAACCGTCGGAGCACAGTTGTATTAGCAAAAGTTGAAACAATCCCATGGAGCATCGCTTTGTGTTGTTTGAAATAGCAACAAGTTATCACAACTCCTCTATAGTCTTCTAAAAATGGAATATCACTTTACTTTGTTAGTGCTCTTAGCTACAAGTTACCTCAACCGTAGTATAGTCGCCTAGACGTAAAATCCTATTTTTATATGATTCACTATGTGATTATGGACGTCAGTTCTATTAGTAAAGGTAACCCCACTATAGCCGACTAGGCGTGGAATCCTATATGGTTCCCTTTGTGTAATTGTACATGTTATGTTGTTATCAGTTATATTTGTCACAAGTCGGTTCTCTCGGCAACAAGGCTAAAACAACCGACTATATTCGGCCGGTGGAATCCCATATGTTGCAAGCTGTTTTCCTCGTCAGTTACGTAACATGGTCTCGCCCCTTCGCATCTCCAAATAACGCTTCTATTTTCTTTGTCTGTACACCGCCTTTCTATATCGCACCGACAAATTGAATATTTATATTCGTGTAGGGTATCTTTACATAAATAGATTGTTTAAACTTGGCAACTAAAAGGGAGTAACTCTTGAATCTTTAGGTGATTTCTGACGTCGTAAATCGACTTTCATCAATTAGTTCTTGGTTTAATCCCAAAATAAGTAAAGTCGTATGCCTAATTATTTTGAGCGTATTGACAGATTCTGTACGTTTTAATTATGAAATAATTTCTACAGTGAACTCGGCAAAATGAACATGTGCTCAAACACAAGACCTTTACCATCTTTAAGTCGAGTGGCTAACACAACACCTTTTGTCTGAAATAGGTCGAGCGGAACTATCTCCAAGATATCCTCTATCGTGACGCATCGTCGTTTATATAACGCTGAACCGGTCCCCAAAACTGGCGCGTACACTGAGGCAGCTATTTACAGGCATATTTCACTTCCACTCCCAAAAATAAATTGTGTTGTAAACATTGGGAGGTTGGTTTCAAAATACACAGCATTTTAGTATGATAAAGGGGTTTCAGGATATTTACAGTAGGCTATTTGGCAACCATTGACAACTCTATCGTAAGTCCAAACTATTCGTGGTCATTCAGGCGAACAATTTAAAGCTATAAAAATGTTTGTTCTTTCAATCACATAAATAGTTTACAATGTAATACAGATAATGGTCAGAGTATATCCTACTGAGGACTGTGTTTTTCAGCTTATAGTGACGTATCTTGCATGTTAATCTTGTTAAAGAATAATTTATGACTTCATAGGTTGTCCTCAACAAGCAAGACTGTAGACAACGGAATTTAGAATGTTAGGTCAGGGTCAATGTCCCGGTATAATGGGGCGTTATAAACAGTTACTTGCCGTCGTGCATGAAAGCGCCCGAATCCTATTGTCTGAACTGCAGGGGATTATTTCTTGACTAAACTTCGTCATTTGTACAGAGTCAATGTTAGTTTACTAATTAGGCTTCACGTCTAGTATCTTAAAATTATTATAGAGAAGTAGCTAAGTATGCGTGTTCACTCGAGTGAAGGCAAAGAGCGGGAAGCCCCCCACGCAATCATAAAATTGTCATTCGTCAATTAATCTTGAGTTGTTATCATTATTGATTAACTTATGCATTTTGTTTAGTATGCGACCGATGATAAATGAAGATTCTGCGGAATGTAGGTTGGTATCACTGTTTGTTACATAACATCCTCATGACTCCCACATGCTCCCACGCAACAGATCTGTCACCAACTGAAACGCACGGCAGATCACGTGTTAACTCGAAGAAGAAGAGTTTTAATTTATAAAACCTTTGAAATTGTGTACAACTACGGCTGTGCAGGGTTTTAGCACGAAAACGAATGGGCTTTCATTCTAATTATTGATTGTAGCATCATCCAGTCACAAATTTACACATAGAGTTACCGCACTCATTTTCACCCAACGAACTACGAATTGAGATCGAATAACTACGTTTTTAGTAGGTAAGGTATGGATACCATGATTGGATTTGTTATCGTTCTTGTAGAAACCACCGCCATTTATTTACACTAAGTTTTGATCGATTTTCAAGTTATTATATAAAAAGCAACTTTTTATTTTAGAGAACACTTATACGTAACGAAACAAAAACAAAGCAAAACGGGCTCCAGATTGTTCAATCGGTTGAGAAGTATACTTTCAGTAGGCGTTGAGAATCTTAAATCAACGAAATAACTAACTTATCTAAAGTAAATAATAATCTCTACCCGAGCGTTGCCATTTACTACACCACAAGCTGGTTGAGCTGCGTGTGCGCAGATGCTGGTTTTACGCACGCGCAGCTGTTCCAGTCGGTTTGAGGTCAATGTCACTGCTACAGGGCATCCAGCAGCTCAGCAGCAACCGGTTATCAGCTGATTGTTTCTGTTTACATCTGGGAGAGAAAAAACGCGCGAAAAACTCCTCCTGGTCGGTGGCAGCGGCCTCAGTTCGCACACTTTTGTTGTATAATTTTGAACTGACATTTTGCTGTGTTTAGCATCCTACGGAAGTGGGTTTGAAGGTTCGTTTGAGTTAACTTTATCAGCTGATCGTGGTTATTTTATCAGATAACTGTTTTTGTTTACATATGGAAGAAAAACGGACGAAAAAACTTCTTGCCGGCCGCGACGACCTCAATTTTATCGAA